AAACTTTAAGAAACTTAAAGTCAAAAGGTCACACAGCGAGCAAGAGGCACAGCCAGATTTCACGCCAGGTTTGTTAGGATTACAGAGGCCCATGTGTGGGAAGTACCAGGCACGTGCCACATGGGCAGGGCCTCTGAAGACCTGGAGGTCATGACGCATGGCTGCCGGTGTTACTGAAGGGTCAACCCTGGGTGCACCTTTTCTCCCCCCATCACCAGGAGCCAAGAGAACAGTGAGATCTGGGTGTCATTACACAAATATACACCCTTTTTTTCCTTTTCCTCCACGATTTTAAATATTGAGTTCAAAATGACTAAAAAATGAAGTCGGCCAAGCTCTCCATTGCTTGGCCCCAAACATTGGTTTTCTTAAAGTTTTTGTCTCAATTTGGGATTACTGTGCTTAGGGTAACGTGGACTCATTCTAGAGACCAAACCTTCAGCAGCTGTCCAAATTCTACTCTGTCCACTCTTCCACAGACCACCACAAGCCTCATTATTCAAATAGAGCAGGGTAGGCTGAGAGTGAAGGGCCTGAATAATAATACAATTCCTAACCTCTCAAATTCCTATGGATTTGGGCTCCCACATCCTTTATTACACCATGTATACCTTTATTACACCATGTCACAATCCAGCACAGTCCTGGCTAGCTGCATGATGTCTCCCCAGCCAGACCGGGAAAAGATTTTATTCTTTCAATTAACAAATATGTATTAAGTTCCCCCCTTGTGCCGTACACTAACTTAGATCTCAGGCCAAAGGCATTTGTTTAGTACAGTTATTTCCGTTGAAAAAAATTGCTAATAGTTGACTCCAAGTGACTAAATGTGCAGGTAAGCATCATCTACAATCAACATATTGACTTGCATAAAATGTTTCTTAAAGTGGCTGGGAGTGCTTCAGAAGTTAGCAGACCACTTAGGTGTGTTTTCTATAACCTGATACATACAAGAAACTTACAAATTTAGTAAATACATAAATGAACAACTTATTGTTCTGTTAGTTAACAGGGAAAGAATTTACCCTGAAAAACAGATGTCAGCTTATCTGTGTTTGTCACCAACTCCAAAATAGAGGATTTTAAAATGCATGAGGTTTAATCTAGAGAAAAAAAAAATGAAACAAACCCAGAAAGCAACCATTTCTACATTTTCATCATCAAGACTGGTTGTGTGAAAAGCAGTGCCCTTGATGAAGAGTCAAGTCCAAGTCCAGGAAAGGAGGCTACATCCTGTGCTGCAGTAGTGACTGTGCTCTGTCTGCTGCATGGTTGCACACAGATGACCACACCGGGGAAGTCAGGAGATCTTTGCGCTCGTACTTGCATCTGGTGTCTCATTCATTCTTTCTAAGGCGTGCTGCTTGGAGGTACGGATGGGAGAGGTAGGAAGAGAAGAGAATCAGAGAGACAGAGCGGGGCAGAGGGAGGAAAATGACGAATGGCCAGCACTTACTGAGCATAGACAGTTGGGCATGTGCTGTGTAAGAAACCTAAAATTCTCTTCATTCTTTTGGGTATCTGGTTTTTCCAGTTATAACTATTCACTACATCAGCTTTGGCAACGAGGGGAAAAAAATTTAATTTCATATTTATATGATAGTTCATTTTCCCCCAGTAAAAAGTTACATCTAACTTCTTAGCTCAAGAAACCTATGTGTAATATGTACCTAAAATAATCTTAATTCAGAATCAGGATTTAACATGGTAAATATGCATGTGATGCAATTGCTTAAGGTTCACGGAGAACTGTGAAGTCCGCCCCAATCACAGCTAGTGGCTTCCTATGAGAGTGCATTGTGCCTTCAAATTGTCCACAATGTTTGAAAAGGTTGCCTATTTTCAACATCACTTTCCTGACAAGAGGTGGCACTAAGCTGCAGCAAGAAGACGCTACACACATAAGCGTGCTCAGAAGACACTACACACATAAGCGTGCTCAGACAGCTCGCTGTGAGACAACCTGGTAGATAAGGCTTAAAGCTGGAATTACTTTTCAGCCTAAAGATTTTTTCCTTTCCTCTGATTTCCTTTGGGGGAGCCTGGATATTGGAGTAAAGATGAAAGGGGCCAGAATTACTTTTAAATAACTCTTGAAAGTATTGGCCATCTGTCGACCTTTTTGAAGCAGTTATTCATAAAAGAGAATCTTTAAAACTAGAGAGCTGTCAGTTATGGTGAACTCTGCAGCTGTTCTAAGATGTAAAATTATATACATATGTAAATGCAAAAGTGTGTGTCTGGGTAAGAGAAAGAGACTTGTCTGCCCTAATACCTTACCCTACCCGTTCCTTGTCTGAATTTCTTCTTTCGTCAGGTTTGGAGATACCAATGGGAAGTTGGAGCAGCAGTAGCTGTCCAGTCCTCCTTCCCCTGGACCAAAGGTGGAGGCCCCTTTGGTGCCACACTGAATGTACACACAATCTTCTAATCTTTTGAGACCAGCTATATCCCAGGCGTTTGGATTTTGAGGCCTCCTGTGGCAGAGACTGTAAACCGACTGCCTCGAAACGCACTGTCCATTTCCCCCTCTCAGTCACTGCATTCTGAGTCTATTTCGCAAAGCCACGCACACCACTAGAAAGACAACTTTCCTAGTCTCTTTTGCAGCTAGATGTGGCCAAGTGAGCAGGTTTTGACCAAAGGGGGTATATGTGGAAGGGATGAATTATGCTTCTGTGAGGTCCTTAATAGAGTGGGAGTGGGGTTTTTGACCTATTCTTTTCCAACGGGGAATGTAAATGTAATGACTGAAGCCACAGCAGTCATTTTGGACTACAAAGTGATGTTGAGAAGGAAACCAAAATGACTGAAGAAGCATGGGTCATTCATACGCCGGTCATTGACACGTGGACCATTGATACGTGGGTCACTGATACACGGGTCCGTGATACCCTGTATCTGCCACCCTGGATCACTAACTCCAGACTTCTTTTACATCGGAGGTAAATAAACCTCTATGTGTATAAAACACTCATCCCATACAACCAAACATAATCCCAACTGATACACTTAGGAAGTCACTGAAGGAATAAGCATTCTGAAATATTAAGTATTTGGTGTACTAAATACAAAAGGAGACATACCTCTAATGCAATTAACAATGCCAAGAGTTTATCTTTTGAAGGACTCTGAGTGACCCTGTATATAGAGGTCACTTGCGATGGCTTGTCATTACAATACCAAACAAACCCAGGGTAACATATGTTCATTAAGCATTTGTAAGGGTGCCATCCTTAAAGGTGCTGGAAGGCTCAGAAATCATGTTTTATACTAAATAATTATCAAAATCAAATAATGACATTATATACACCTCCCAGTATTAGAGTTTTCAGTTGTGAGGATGTAAAAATGTTTTTTAAAGGAATTGTTTTCAACCGGTAAGACATCATTTTTGAGTGCCTAGTGTCCCAGGCACTGGGCTAAACACATCATTTCATTTAATCTTTACAAGCACATACTCTTATTATTCTCACTTCACAGATGGGTAAAGAGAAGGGACACATAACTTGCCCAAAGTGACATGGCAAAGCTGGAAATCAAACGAAGTTCAGTGAAATTTCAATTCTGTGTTACAAAACACCAAACTAAAGCATCTTCCATGTTTATTTTTTTTTCTAAATAGTTTTGAGCATCCTTAATGCCTTTAAATTCTCCATTGAGTTATGTTAGAACGGTTGACCTTGTTTCAATGAATTAGAAGGCTGAAATCCAGAGAGGGCTTCATTCATCTTTGTGATAAGATCAGGACACTTAGTTATGGCATCAAGTTTAACTTGAGAGAGAGAAAGCCAAAGTCATGGCTCTGCAAACCAACTTGGTCCCTTCCTTGAGTATAATTTTGTAGTCTAGCTCTTTTTTTTTTTTTCCATAGAGATGGGGTCTCGCTAAATTACCCAGGTTGGTCTTGAATTCCTGGCCTTGGCAGTCCTCTCACGTCAGTCTTCCAAAGTGCTGAGATTACAGACATGACCCACTGTGCTTAGCTTAGCTCTTTTTTTTTTTTTTTTTTTTGAGATGGGATCTTGCACTGCTGCCCAGGCTGGAGTGCAGTGGCGCGATCTTGGCTCACTGCAACCTCCACCTCCTGGGTTCAAGCAATTCTCCTTGCCTCAGCCTCCCAAGTAGCTGGGATTACAGGCGCCCGCCACCACGCCTGGCTAATTTTTTGTATTTTTAGTAGAGATGGGGTTTCACTATGTTGGCCAGGCTGGTCTCGAACTCCTGACCTCATGATCCACCCACCTCGGCCTCCCAAAGTGCTGGGATTATAGGCGTGAGCCACCGCGCCCGGCCATCTAGATTAGCTCTTTACATTGAAAGTAATATCCAGGGTCACTGATATTCTGAGAAAATTAGAACCACCTTTGAGTTAAGATAGAAAGACACATACGTTGTTATATTTTAATTAGAGTCAGACATTTAATGGCATAAAAACATTGCATATATGGCTTTGCTGTTCTGAAAGTCATGAACTTAAGACCCAAATATGACACAAGCAGTTTTAAGACTATTTTGGCCAGCCTCCCCAGTCCCAAAGGAGATTTAAAAGTAATAATGTAAAAAAGTTAAGGTCAAGGTGTTTTAAAATCACATCTCAGCTAATGACTAACCTTTTGTTTCCTGAGGACTTCTGCTCTACTGTGAAAACTGCTGAGCTTAACCCGCTGTTGAACAACTGGTTAGTTCTTAGTTCCCTGGGTGAATTGTCCCTGAAGTTAAGCCATGCTCTGGGGACACATGAGGCACTTTAATTGGGGTAGTTACTTTTTCCAGGTTGGGTACAATGTTTGGCTCTCAAAAGCAAGGTAAACAGTTTACAGTCAAAAGGAATCCTCTGTGATTGTGTGCCTTTGGGATCAAGGGTTGAGATCTTAGAGTATTCTCATAAACATCTGTACCAGGTGCTCAAAGATGTTTGAGGGTTGTCAAGCAAGCTGTTCAATTTCTGCACTTTCTGTGGATATGGGCACAATGACCCACTTAGATTTTTCTCCTAGTGTCCTGAATGACAGCTCATCGACACAGAGTGAAACTCCAGATATGTGACAAGCAGCATGGGACAGATGCTGACAATCAGAACAGGTGCTGGATGTAAACAACTGGTCAGGCTGCACTGGTGCATGCTGGGAGAATCACCTGCTCTGCATCCAGGGAGCAAATGCATCTGCATGCTCAGCACGACACCAGCTTACCTCCCTGTGCAAATCCCCTCCCCTAGTCAGCCTCATCCAAATCTTCTCCTGCAGTAGCAGCTTCTAAAGCCGCAAGGGCCTCCGCCACCGCTGCATCCTCGTCCACAATCTCCCCATCTCCGTCTCCATCGGAGCCATGGGCATCCTCCTGCCTGTTTCCTGAGTCAACCACAGGTATGGCATGAGCAGGACCCTTCTCATTAAAGCAGATGCTTTGAACTTCTGTTTCCACATCCTCATTCAATGAATCCCAGCTTCTCCTCCCAGAGAAGGGCGTATTCAAACCACGCTCCCCCACTGTGGGCTGAATTCCCTCAAGGGACTCGTCCTCAGTATGGTTCTTGAAAACACGGTCCTTTTCGTTATGGTCAATGTTGTCTCCAGCTGGGCCCCAATGCTGAAGGTAATCTGGGGCTGGTATCTGGAAGACACGGTCTTGTACTTCTAAGGCAAAACTTTCTGCCTCAGAAGGAGCTCTGGAGTCTCCATTTCTCATGACTTGGGTTCCTTCGGAGGCCAGCAGCACACAGTCCTGTTTCCTGGTGTCCCCTCCTTCCAGGAAGGGTTGAGTTGGGGGAACTCCAGTATTTTCAGTACTGGTCCAGGAGCCCCTGTCATCCTGGGCAGGGCTGGGATTCCCAGCGGGCTGTGGAGCGGCAGCAGGGCCGATGCCATTGATGCCGCAGGCATGGTGTTCCCCTCCAACATCCCCCTGCGGGAGCGGCCCTTGGTGAGGCCAGCAGGGCTCCCGTGGATTAGCTGTCCTGCTGCTGCTCTCGGTCTTTTTTGAGCCCTGCCTCTGAGAGTCATTTTTCTGCACCAGGACTTCACTGTTCCATTTGCCTTTTAATTTATCAGTGTCGTCTTCATCTAGCTTGCAGCTGTTGACTTCATTGACATAGCCAGGAGAGGACACTTGAACTGGATCAAAGAGATAGCTGCAGGGAGGACAACGAAAAACCAGTGAGGTCTGCTCCATCATTAAATATTTTTACCACAGGCCCTGCTTCTTTCTACGAAACCTGCTAATTTAATTTCTGTGATTACTCTTTTCAACCTAGATAAGTGTGTCTGAATCAAACAGATATAGTTGGTAAAAAATGTTCGCTGGCTCACACCTGTAATCTCAGCAATTTGGGTGGCCAAGGCGGGCGGGTCACTTGATGTCAGGAGTTCGAGACCAGCCCGACTGACATGGTGAAACCCCATCTTTACTAAAAGTACAGAAGTTAGCTGGGTGTGGTGGTGGGCACCTGTAATCCCAGCTACTCGGGAGGCTGAGGTAGGAGAATCGCTTGAACCTGGGAGGCGGAGGCTGCAGTGAGCTGAGATCACGCCCCTGCATTCCAGCCTGGATGACAGAGCAGGACAGTCTTGAAAAACAAAAACAAGGTTCTGCCGGAAATACATCTTAAGAAGAGAGCCAGAAGGAGGAAGGAGGGGTAGGGGGTAAAGTAAAATACAAAGTGGTTCATAGAATTTTAAAATAAGAAACAATAAATAAAACAAGTGTCCACTAATAGGGCCATAAGGAGTATACCCTCTCAGTGGAATATTATGCAGTCATTAAAATGATAAATATGAAGTCTGCAGTCACAGGAATGATACTTACAATACATATTTTTTGAATAAAGCCAAACATCACATTATGATTACAGTGGAATAAAGCTTATTTATGTATGGGTCTAGAATAGAGCTACAATTAAAAAGACAGTATATTTGTTAAGAAAGCAAGATCATCAGTTACTTTTCTTCCCTTTATCTTAGTTAGAAGTTTATGTTCATGTTACTCAGTTTTATGAAATGCAGTGTGGACAAAATTAAAAGCACATATGTGATTGGGGTGATTTATTTTCAGCGATGCCATTTCAGGCATCCTCAGAAACCCAGACCAAATTCAGCCTCAGAAAATGATGGTGTTCCCAACATGCTTTGAGAAGTGAGCAAAAAAAGTTACAAAAAATCTAGGGCACATGTTCTTTTAAATGATATGATAACAGTTCCAAACTCTTAACGTGTTGGCAATGTTGATCATGCCCCAAGCTGGATAAATGCTCTGAATACATGCATGGTCTTTAAAAGTGACTCCACGCTCATCACAAATTCCTCCATTTAGAAGTAGTATTTCTCCAGCTTTACCTTTGTATTATTTTACAGCACCTGCACCCCATCTGGATTGTTTTCTGTTACCACCTGGAAAAGAAAGCGTAAAAGGTAGAGAAAACAGTGAGTGATCTATTAGTAGGAATTAAGTTTGCTTTTTTTTTTTTTTTCCCTAGAGACTCAAAATGTATTAATAGTCACACACTTTGGCAAAAGGGTAACTCCACATGGGTCAGAGAGGGCGCTGGTAACCAGGAACACCCCATTTCCATCACTGCTTCAGCGTTCTCAGACGTTCACTGACACTTGCCTCTGTGTCAGACCTTTCTCCCAACCCTGGGGTTATGTGTTTCATCCCCATTTTACAGATGAGGAGAAGAAGGTGGAAGGATGCTAGACAGAGAAGGGACTTCTGCCATTTCCTAACCTGTTACCTTCTACAGAGGACACAGGAACCTCACCAGGGCAGAGCCCACTGTGCAGCAGCAGCAGGAGCGGGAGGAGATTCTCAGCGGGCTCCTTGCCAGGGCATTTGCTCCTCAAGGGTTAAAGGATGCTGGAATAAGCTGGCGGATCTATTGTGTCCCATGATTCAGACACTGAGGAGCGTGACAGCCTGAATCATTGCACAAGCTTCAACCACACTAAATTTATCCTGTGTTGCTTTTCCCGCCCCTGGGTCAATCTCAACATCTCAACTCTGATTCGTGGACCTGTTCTTTTTAGCTCAAAGACATGCCCCCTTAGGCTTCCTGGCAGAAGGTGGAATTCATTTCCCACCTGCCCACTGTTCCCTGGCCCCTCCCCAAGCTGGGCTTTTCCCGATCATTTCCTTTGGAACAAAATCTTCTCTTCCTATAAGACTGACCACGTTCGCCTCTTCCTTCCTCAGAATATCCTAAAAGTGAGTATGGAAGCATCTCTAAGTTACTTTTCATTTCTAATATCTACAGCTTTTATTGTTATTATTTTTTTGAGACACAGTCTCACTCTGTCGCCTAAGCTGGAGTGCAGTGGCGCAATCTCGGCTCGCTGCAACCTCCGCCTCCCAGGTTCAGGCGATTCTCCTGCCTCGGCCTCCCAAGTAGCTGGGTTTACAGGTGGGTGCCACCACGCCTGGCTAATCTTTGTATTTTTAGTAGAGACAGGGTTTTGCCACGTTGGCCATGCTGGTCTCAAACTCCTGATCTCAAGTGATCTGGCTGTCTTGGCCTCCCAAAGGTTTGGGATTACAGGCATGAGCCACTGTGCCGGGCCTACAGCCTTTAAGAAGACAAGCTAAAACAGAATCTGCATCCCCAGTCCCCTGTCTCCATGAAACACAGGCACCAGAAAGAGAGATCGTTCATTGCTGGCTGTGTCTCTGTCTCCCCTGTTGTCCCTCCTTCCTTCTTTCAATCATGGATGAATTTCCAGGGATGCTGCTCCATAAGCTTTTGCCCACAGTGAACATGATTGGTGCTTTTTAAGAAGTATAGATGGCTTGGTCAGTTGAAAGGGACTAGATGTACATTAAAAAAATAAAATCCACAAATAACTCCCTATGGTAGGCTGAAGAATGGCCTCCAAATATCCACCTCCTAATTCCTGGAACCTGTAGAAAATACCTCATATGTCACCTGAGTCCCAAAATTAAAGGTATTTGCAGACGTGATGAAGTATAGGATTTTGAGATGGTACAGTCTGCCTAGTTTATCTGGGTGGACTCGAAATACAATTAAATAAATGCTTATGAGAGGGAGGTGCAGGGACATTTGATTATAGACAGAAGAGGAAGAGGAAGAGGCAATGTGACCAAAAAGGCAGAGATCGGAGCAAGGAGGTCACAAATCAAGGAGCACTGGCAGCCCCCCAAGTTGGAAGAGGCAAGGAACAGATTTACCCTTAGAGCCTCTGGAAAGAGTGTGGCCCTGGTAACACCTTGATCCCTGATACCCACCCCTGGATCAAGCCCACTGATACCAATTTCAGACTTCTGGTCTCTAGAACCAGGAGAGAATATGCTTCCATTGTTTTGTTTTGTTTTGTTTTGTTTGTTTTTTTGAGACAGAGTCTCACTCTGTCACCCAGGCTGGAGTGCAATAGCATGATCTCGGCTCGCTGCAACCTCTGCCTCCTGGGTTCAAGTGATTCTCCTGCCTCAGCCTCCTGAGTAGCTGGGATTGCAGGTACCTGCCACCATGCCCAGCTAATTTTTGTATTTTTAGTAGAGATGGGGTTTCACCATGTTGGCCAGGCTGGTCTTGAACTCCTGACCTCAGGTGATCCACCGACCTCGGCCTCCTAAAGTATTGGGATCACAGGCATGAGCCACCGCACCCGGCTGCTTCCATTGTTTTAAACCCCTCAGTTTGTAGTAATTTGCTGCAGCAGCACAGAAAACTAGTAACATCCCCAAATCACTTCATGCTTGAGGACCAAACCCCCCTTGTCCTTCTAGTTCTTCCTGGGAGGACTCATGGAATGCAGAAGAGTCCCTCGGGCCAGCCCTGCATCTCTTGCCACCCTTTCTTTCCTTACTGTGCTTCAGTTTTCTTCCTAGCATGTGTCACCACTGGACATTCTGTCGTAGGTTTGTTTGTGACCCACCTTTTCCACCCTTCTTCAAGCCTAATCCTCAGCACTTAGGATAGCACCTGGCACAGAGCCGGCAGTCAATACATGTGGAATGAATGAATGATTTAATGGCTATAGATTAAAAATGAGAGCACTATCAGTGAACCTGTTGTGTGTCTGCAACCAATCAGGACATTTCCAGTTTGTGCCAGCCACGTCACCCAGGTGTTATAAGGGTGGGCTCAGGAGACAGAAAACCCTGCTACTATGGGACTTTGGGCCTCAGTCACTTGATCTGTAAATGGGGATAATAATATTTCTACTATGTGGTGTTGTTGGGGATCATATGAGCAAACATTCATAATAAACATAGACCAGGGGTGTCTCACCCACCCCTGTTTGGATACAGCATATTAAAACACCCCCCACCCCCGCCAAAAGAAAAAGATGGAGGTCTAGTATCCAAGAAAGATGTAATCTAGTTGCCAGAACCTATGCATACAAACAAGAGTATTAACAATGTCAAGTAGGACTTGGTTCTGGAATAAGGGCTAAATGGCATAT